TCCCTACTCTTGCATATTTAGCTGGCCAGAAAATGGGCCTGTAGTATATTTCCACACTGTCACTTCACTTCTGCTGCTTGACTAAGGGGAGTCCAGGATCATTATGAAATTACCATTAGTCACAGAGGAAGAGCAGATTTTATAATCAATACTGAGAATATAAGGTGAGACAACTACATAAAATTATGCATTACATAAAAGTATTCCTTATTCCTTGATCCATCCACTCATGAAAATTGGAAAATGATGTCTTTGCCATCCAAAAGAAATCAGCTCGCAGAACACAACTGAATGATGCACATAAGAGAGGATGCATACTCTGTGTACCTGCGTATACACTGCACTACACCACTGCTTACAGGGTTTCACACCAGTCATATCCAACACTGAGTCTGCTTTAAAGTACTTATTAACTTCTGATAAGTTTCAAATATTCCTTTCAAATACACCTTGTTGAAGCTCCAGTGGTTAGGAAACATCTGTACCAGCATCGCATCATAAAATAATCAATAATGTCACAAAAAGATATAACTGCAGCATCTCTGTGTATCTGTAACTTCCAGAATAAGTGATTCAACTAACAATCAGCTATTCATTCATTATCAAATGTATTGTATTGTTTAATAGTCACATGTAGCTGTAAGTGTAATTATATAAGTGTATTCGCCTACCATACTGTCATTGGAATTGAATAATACAACAATAAAACAGATTTAATATAAATATAAAACACTATTGTATAAAAATGTAGATATATGGATAATACAGTCTAGCAGTTACTACCATACAGATGTTTTTATATTTGCAACAAACGAAAAAAGATGATTATTTATGGCAAAGGCTTTTATTATTGATTAATCTGGCAAATAGTGTGTCAATTTATTGATTATTGTTTGGTCGGTGATTTATTAGAAAATACAAAAAAAAAAAGTCTATTAGAAGTCCTCAAATTGCTTGTCTTAAACCAAAGATATACAGTTTATAATCACATCAGACTAATAAAACATATAATAAATCATATTTAAGAGGCTGGAACCAGCAAATATTTTGGCATTTTTACATTTTTAAAGGAATTATTTTGAATGATTAAAATTGCCTGTGAATTATATGTCAGTCTTCTAATTGATTAATCAATTCACCTTTTTATATCTTAATGGTGACATTAAGTTGCTTAAAGCTTGCTTACTGAATTACACTTTTTGAGCACAGCAGTAATATTGATGCTGTTTTTCATGTGTAGGTGAGAATAATAGTTAATGAAATCTAATATAAGAACACAAAGCTATAACGCAGTCGAAATTATACCACCGACCGATGCAAACTCAATAATACCAGGAGAATCTAATCTGTTGCTGCATGTTGAATAAAAAGTTGTCTGCGTCTGACAGCTGGAAAGACCAAACTGCACCAGCTGAGCTCTGGCATGAGGCGGACAATGTCTCTCGATGCCATCATCGGGCCGTACCTGCAGGGACACTGGCCGAAAGAACCAGAGGGCCAGAGCAGCCTGTCTCGCAAGGACAAATCCACCCAGGTCAGCTCCGGATGAAGAATGTTCCCTACGTGTGAACATAATAATGCTGGCCAATTTGAACCAGAGCTGTTTTTGTCAGAAAGAAATGAATGGAATGCATTACTTTACCACAGATGTTTCCATATTTAGAGTTTTTTTAATATTTTAAAATCATGAACGTCTCTATACAGTGATGTTTTTTTTGGGTGGGGGGGGGCAGATGGGGTCGGCTCACGTTTAGACGATTAGTTTGCAGTTTGTGCCGATAAAGAAGTTGCTAGGAGACAGTGGGAGGGAGTGTCTGCTGCCTGCATAGCTATTATACAGTGAGAACCACAGCCATGAGAACAGTCTCTGAAGTCAGCTGATGAGGCCGTTTGGCTGCACCCATCCTCTCTGCTCTGTGTGCAGGCACTCGCCATTGCTCTTTGGTTGCCCACATCCTCCCCCCTCCCTCTTTGTTTTTCAGTTTCTCCTGCTCTTTCGCTCTTCTACAAGTGTGAAGAGACAGTCTGTGGGTGTGGATGGTGTGATGTGGCTGCAGATCAGCCTTTGAGCATGAAAAGATATGCTAAGTGTGCAACTTAGGGTGAAATGTGTGTGAAGTCCTTATGTAATGCGTGACTTGAACAGTTTCCAGTCTCAGATCTTACCAGGCAGCTTCCGGTATAAAAATTCTGTTGTGTGTGTGTGTGTGTGTGTGTGTGTATATATGTGTGTATATATATATGCTTGTTTATTAGGCACATGTGATCTTGTGTGTATTAGTTCTCACGGTTGCTTTTCTTCCTCACCAGACCCCAGACTCGTGGTCCGATAAATCCCAGAGCAGGAGAGGTGGCAGCAGCCACAAACGATCGGCATCATGGGGCAGCGCTGAGCATCTGCGAGAGGTCAATCTCTGCCTGTATTGCTCAACATGTGTGTTTGTAACAACTAGTCTTGCTAAACTGGACTTGTGTTTGTATCGAGACGGAAAGCTCTTGAAAAGGGCCTGACTCAATTATTTAGACAGCATTGAGCAACAGGAGAGCAAATTACCTCATCTGCCAAGAAACTTCCTCTTTTCACCAAAGCTTCACTCATTCTATCTTTAATCTGTACCACCCAATAATCATCACTACTAACAGTGTTTACAGCGTACCCTTTTGAAGGGACCTTGTTAGCGTGTGTGTGTGATATTTCTAAGTTTTAAGGACCTTCTCTGTGTGTTTGTGTGTGCAGGCTGATTGACTTACAGTGACTGACAATAACTTCTGTTTATTGCAGATTGCTAAACTAAAACAGCAGCTGCAGCAACGCGGCAAGCCTTCAGTCTCAGGGGGGCATGACAAAGACCGCCAGCGCGACTATCCTCAGGGGAGCTGCAGCCTAGGAACTACTCAGGTACCTTAGCATCATTCTCATCACACTTAAACACACCATACCACTTACCTCACACATATGCGTGCGTGTGTACACTTTGCACAAACAAAGAGAGCAGATCATCAAGGCAACCTGTCGGCTCCAGAAAAGTTTCACTGATTACTTACATCAAAGCAAGTTACACAGTGCAGCTCATCGCAGGAAGTAAATTAAATAAAACACAAAAGCAACAGGAAGACCACTGCATCATGTCGCTTCTGCTTTTCAGAACTACATGTGTTGTTCTGCTTTTCAGCGCAGCTGGTCTGCACTATCTTGGTGCTGCACTCCACTGGGCGGAGGCAGTTTCACATCAGAGTGTGGTGATATGACAGACCCACAGACCTGATTTTATACCTGAAAGTGTTAATATAATTTTAATAAGGGCCAACACATGTTCCAGTTTGAATACAGTGTGAAACCTAGTGAATTTCAGTTCACAGTGCTTCAGTAGCTGCATACGAGTGGCTCACATTTTGTTTTATAAACTCCTCATACAAAGAATGTAGCTCAAAGTGCTTCACAATAAGAGGAAACAAAACATAAAAAGTGTCTGATCAGTGTGAGTTATGACGCAGCCTTAATTCTATGTAACTTGTTTTCGTGTCCTCAGACTCAGCCAATTCCCATCCCCCTGGCTCCCCTGTCTACACTGGTCCCTCGACTGCGCTGCAGTGTGGAGGGCCTCAACCAGGAGCTGGAAGGCATGTTCATCTGCCAGCCACCGCATCCTCCGCACAGGGTAACTGTCACCTCCCCTCCACACAGCATGTGAAAAGATTAAGCGGTTGTTTTGCCTATAAAGAAAGGAAGGCGTTTTTTGCCTTTTTTCCAAGATTCCTGCAAAGTAGCACTTAATATAAGTGGTGGCTGACATTAATTACACAGTATAAACTCTTTTTTCCTGTGTTGACAGCTCCTTGAGGTTCCAGACGGTCACCGGGCTCCAGTCCCTCCACAGAGCTGCAGCAGTGGATCCCAGAGTGACCCCGCCACCACACCCTTGTCCTCATCGTCTCCCCCCTCCTCACCCAGCTCCCCTCTCACCTACATCTCCACATCCCCACCCAACTCTGAAGATGCACCTCTGGATCTGCCCCAAGGTCTGTTTCTAAGTAGAAAGTATCGAATCACTGCATCCAAATGTTGTGAGGTTTTTCTGTAGAGTTTAGTCTTTCTCCAGAGTTTATAAAGGTGTTTTGTGACTGAACCTTCAACTGGAGGTCTGAGTAAATCATTAAAACTTCCAGGTTGCTACAATCATGTACTGGTTTGTTCTGGTTTTAAGCCACATTTCAATACATAGCTTAAAAAAAGTAGTATTACTGGAAGATTACGAGAAAACAAAAGGGAAAGTGATCTGCTGTGTCACGTTCACACCTGCTGCAGCCCCTCAAGACACAGCCTAAAATCAGAAAACCACGTAAACATAACCTAAACCACATAACTAGATTTCTCTAAAGTTAAACATCATGATACACTCACACTCACAACTAATTACGTGCTAATATTTCAGTTTGCAGTAGCAGTGCAGCAGTTCCACACTGGAAATTGTTTCCATTCCCTGGCCATATAGTAGCACACTAATAACTCTGGCACAGGTTTATTTTGTTTTCAGGTCTATGGTGTCTTACGAGGAAATTACGGTACTTTTAGTTTTCCTTTATGCAACTCACTCACACTATAAGACACATAATTTCCAAAATAAGACGCTCATTTTCCGAGGTGTGTGTATATATTTTCTTCAAAGAGACCTCACATGCCAGAATTAGAATATCTATATTAACACTGACAAAAATAGCAGATGCTGCAGTGTATCATCTACCAGACATTTACCTTCGTTTTGTTTTGCACATTTTCTTTTTAAATTAAGGTCACTCTTAGGAAAAAACTTTTTTTCTTTTTCCTCTGCAGAGACGTGACTTCGTACCAGTAAAGTCTCTTTCTGTGCACACTTCACTCTTTTTCACAAGTTGACAAAAAGGAATAAAACCCAAATTACAGGTTACCAAATACAATATACCTCATGCTGCTGGTAGTCTATCTAACTGCACTGACCTTAATTAAAATGTATTATCTTTTGATACACTGACTGGAGTCACACTTGCTTAAGAACAAAGAGGAGCACTTTTGTTGCTTACTAAGTGAACAAACTGAAAATACTTTGTGTGTGTGTATTGTTTACCGTTTTAAATACTGACTGTATTAGATGACTAAATTTGAAGTTTTTATTATCATTTAGTTATTTTTAGATTGATGTCTAAGCTGTACATTAATTTTTATTTGTAAAACACTCTTTACAAATTAAAAGTACTTGACACAATTCATGATTTTAATGCTCAGAAACTTCAGTTTTAGTTAAGTTATACTGTATATACATTATTTTCTGCAGGAGTATAGAGAAGTGTAGCTAACTCAATAAGTAATGTGCCCACATTCAAAGCTTGTTGTAAACTTTTAAATAACTATCCTCTAAAGTTTTGCTTAGAGAATCTTTCATCATAGTGACATATTTTTTCCCTTCCTGTTTTCAGGTTCAATAGAGAGCGCAGAGATGGGCCTGCTGTCTCCGTTCCCCTCCCAGAATGAGGCTGACCTCTCCATGCCTTTGCTGATGTCCTCCTCCCCGGGACCCAACAAAAGTTGCTGCTTCCAGAGAGAGCCCCCAGAGGGCTGCGAAAAGGTCCGGGTCTGGGAGGAAACGAGGTATGTGTGTTATGCGTCTGAACAGAATTGACAAAATTCTCTCTCACGTTGAACCACACCTTCAGCGGTCACCAGGCTGAAGGAGCTATTAAGAGAACAGCACTCATTTAACGGGCTCGAGGTGGACAGTTTACATTTAACAAGTTAATCATCAAAACTAGCAGCAGAACCAGAGATATCCTCTTTTTTTTTTTTATTCCATTCACTCTTCTTCCTTGTCTTAACGTCGTGCCTTTATTACCCACAATGCAACTTGGCCACTGACAGTTCGTAGATTCAGGTGTGTTATGCTGGTAGTTGCTAATGAAGCCTTCAGCCGCTAGCCTCCGGCAGCGATGACGAGCCGGCTACTGAGGCTCACTTCTTTACACACAACTGATGCTTTAGGTAGTTTATCAGACTTCACACACTCCTCCTTCTGGAGCCACAAAGGGCTTAATACAACTTCTTTTCTCACTTCAGAGTGGAGCTCCCCTTTAACTAGACGGGACACCCAGTCTATTATTTAATTGATTTCTTACACTCAGAAATATCTGATCTCTTTATAATGAAGTGAATTGGACGAATGAAGTGTATCAATTCAAAGTGAGTCAGTGTGTGGATGCCCTCTGGTGGTGATTTCAGGGTGTCCTTTTATAATAACAAAGTATTTTAAATGATACTATATGTAGACATGCTAGAACAGGTGTGGTTAAGATTAGGCATTTATGCCATTATTTTGGATCTATTCTTCAAACTGTTGAATTGTTTTGGTTAAGTCAAAAATTAAACTTGCAAATGAAATTAGAGTGCGATCATTCTTACTACTTGTTATGATTTTACCTTCTTCCCCCTGTGAGACTGTAACTTGTAATATGTTGAAGTCTTGGGTAGAATAAAGCCTGGCACACGAGTGACTTGTGTGTTCTCTTCGTGAGGAGTGACTATTTTTAGTTCATTTGTAAGCGACACGTATACTTATCATGACATAACTAACTTCATGTGCTGAACATATGTCTGAATGCATGTAACCAAACCTCATTTCTGCCATTTACACTTTGACAGGTCTTAGTTGTGTCATTAGTTTCTCACAGCCCGTTCTCCTCTCATTCTCTAGCACTCCACACCAACTCAAGCCAACCCTCATCTCCTCCTGCCCAGATCCTAACAAGGTAAACTTCACCCCCCATGGGGGCTCTGCCTTCTGCCCCGTCAGCCTCCTCAAGCCCCTGCTCCCCTCCATGGACCTGTTGTTCTGCAGCCTCGCCGTCTCTCCAGCAGGCACTTGCTCGAGCCAGGGAACGGGCTCCTGCCAGGCAACGTCCTCTGGCAACCGGGCCGCGCCTCCGGATCCTCCTGCCACTGCCGCTGTTATGGGAGAAAGCTCGGGGGAGGGCCTCGCTTTCTGATCGCAGCTCCAGATCGTTTTCGGTGGAAAATGCGTGATGCAAATATTTCGGCGGTCTGGGACAGACTTGTTGAATTTACTTTATTTTAGGGAAGACTCGTTCCTTTTCTATACATGTTTAAAATAATCTTGTGTTGAAAAATAATAATATTTGGGTGGGGGGGGATGAGTTAATTGTACGCAGTCCAATGGATATGCTTTATGAGCTACTTGTTTTGGGTTTCCGGGCATTGTGACATTTCTAAATTAAGGCCAATTTTGGTTCTTTCATTTTATAATCCAAAGATATATTTTTGGCCAAACACGGTGGGGCAGTCTTATGGCAGGACTTATCACTATTTCTACTCTTAACTCTATCTGAGATGGGATTTGTTGGATGACTGACAACCCCCCCCCCCCCCCC